TTATTCAGTTTTTTGGCAATCTTCCACGCCAGACGTTTAGTGCGTCATGAAATATTCCTGGCAGTGAAGTCTACGCTAATTTGCATTCCCTTTCTTGTGACTCGCATGTACCTGTCAGTTACCTGCTGATGTGCTTGGGTTAAGTCACTAACGTGTAAAGAAGCACTGCGTTCAAAGGGTAGCGCACTCAATTAATTGTCTGACACAGACTCAACGAGGGCATTTGAAACTGAGTCGCCACTTTTCCTGCTCTCCATTTGCATGTTACTTTTTATGACACTCATTTGAGCACCCGTATCCACCAGGAAACTTCTGCCACTCCGAGTGTGGCAGACGTAGAAGGTACCACCAGAGCTGGCAACACCAGGAAGACTAGTAGCATTCATCTTCCCTTTTGCTCTGCTGGGAAATGAAGGAGCAGGGAGAGATGCGACGACGGGCTCTAGCACCAAAGGTGGAGTGATACTGGGCAGGTGGTAGTTGAATTGAGACGAGATAAAGAAGGAGGCTGGACATGCCAAACAGATGAACTCGGTGGACTCCGCTGTTGATCACTGTTGAAGAGAAATTGCCTGTTTCGCAATCTCGGATTTCAGATGTGACACAGGAAACTCAGGAGTAACTTGAGGAGTTGGGAGGATGGCAAAGCCGTATCTCTCTGTCTGCCGTTCAATCATTTGGATGAGTTGTACGGCAGTAAGAGAACTAGAAGCGGGTTCCAAAATAGGCTAAATTTCTGATGGAAAGTTGTATATGGTCAACACCTGACTACATCGTGGATGTGGAAGAATAACGTATCCGATCGGAGTTACCAATTGTCGAAGATGGTGGTGTCGACAACAGAAGGTTCCCCAGATCAAAAGCCAAGTAAGACAGAGCTGTTAGGAAGGACTGTTGCTGCGCGAAAGGGCCTTTACAACAGGTGCTGCCAAACGATCGCAGCCGCTGCGTCCTCAGGCCATTTGAGTGAGCATGTGTCAACTGCTGTGAAGCCTTGACTTCAAAATGTATCATTAGTTGCCCGGGCAACAAAACAGGTGGAATGGCCCGAATCGATTGGCTCGAACTAGCGTGCCCTCGGGAAGCAAGTAGCCGGGGAAGCGTAGGATGCACAGGACATGGCGGACGCCATGCGGCGATTGACCAAGATGCGCGGGTACCCAACGGCTTGGCGAACGAAGATAGAATGTGTCGGCGCAGCATTAGTAAGCGTAGGCCACCACATATACATCGCTTGGCCTATTGCGCTTAGTATAAACCGATCTTTAACGCGCATTATTTATTCAAAACACAACGATAAGGTAATAAGAGCACGACGCAGGCATTGTCCCATTTTGCACAAATATAGCGACTTTTTCAAGGACGATTTGTCATGGTGTGTGCAGCCATTATGCATTGTCTGTGATCTTCTGTGCTGACTAACTAGACTAAGGAGCCTTTTATTAATCATAGCACACTTTCCTGTTTAAACTATTTTTTTCTGATTGAGGCGAACTTGCAGTGTTTCCGCAGTCCGATGCCCTCCTAACTCGTGACGCCACAGACATGGCCACTCAGAGGATGGGACCTCGCGCGAAGGCAGTTTTCAGCATGTCTCGGACCAGGCGCAAACGCGCACACCTTGCCTCTCCCCTCCTGGCATCAATACACAGTGGCCTGACCTCAACCCATCCAGTGATATTCCCGCGTTAGTAGACTAGCCTCATTTAGTAGGTTGGCCTCAATCCGTCTGGACACAGACCTCAATGCGATGTCTGCCCTCAGATATCACTTCGGAAATAGCCCGCCTTGCGGCTGTATGTGCGTTCCTACAGTCAAACCTCCTCCTATCTACTCTTCAAACCCTCTGTACAGAATAAACTCTTCCTACCATTCTGGCCTTCACAAGACTTCTCTTTTCTCCTAGGGTACCGGTCCTTGAAGATCGCAGTCGCTATGGTTAACCTTGTTAGCCTTTACCCTTCGCGATTAACTCAACCCTGCGTTATAATTGCGGCTAGCTTGCCACGCTCACAAAATTTGTTTCACCTTTTCATAAATTTTACTCTTTTTAGACCTATTTGGATTTCCTGACTAATATTTCTACTTAAAGGGTCACGAAGTCTATTTTGTTAGTTCATCTGAAGGCTATTTTTCGTTACTTCCGCTATTATGTGGTTTGTGTTTCTAATTTTATTCACAATGAATGGAGGACGTTTTCTGCTGAAGTATTTGGAATGTTATCTAAAAATAAAGCGTATACCACTCCTTCTTTCATCTCAATCCAATAAAGGCGTGCCAAAAACCAGTCTGATACCGGTTTTGTCAAACGCAGCCTTTTGTGAGAACAATTTTCGGTGTGCCAGACAACTAACCTCATCTTGCCTGGTCAAGTTTTTTTTAACTAACTAGAGGGTTAGAGGTTAGTTCGGATAAGACTATTGGCACACGTTGTGGGCAAACCTGAAAAGCTGCAATTTATGTCACTTGGGGTTCTCGCACGCCTATGGGCCTTCGTTGGACGCTGTCGATTCCCAGCCAGATGGCATGGTGGAAGTTGAATTTAGGCTCCAGAATTGTTCAAATAATTTTATAGTTGGCAACAAGAAGAAGAGCGCCATAAATAATGTATTTATAGTTTATTTTATTTTTCTGTTTAGTTTTAGTTTGCTTTTCTGACTTTATCATTAAGGATTTTTAGTTATATTTTCGTTTTAGATTTCGTTTTAGTTTAGAAAGTTAAGTTAAGTTTAGTCTGACTTTCTTTACTTAGTGCACTTTAGTTTTAGTTTAGTTTGTAGTTTAATTTTAGATTTATTGGTGACATTTGGTTTTTCATTTATTTTTTACATCCCTTTACATTAATCTCGGAAATTCGTAGTTTTTTGTGTTGTTCCGAAAAAGTTAAGCACTTCCCGATTTTTTCTTAGATACGCATTTTGTTTATGGCCCATTTTTGGTGTCACACATTAGACTCTTTGAAAAATTATTCCTATTTTTTCTACGTTTAGGTGCTTTGCATCATAGAAAAAAGCAAGAGAAGAAGAGTGACCATGAGCAGCGTGTATTCACACAAAGCATGTTAGAGCAAGTCATTCATACACAAGGCTGAATGCATTTAAGGGACCGCGAGAGAGAGAGATGGTCCGAAGCAATGGACCAATCATTCCAGGTTTTGCTCGCCAGAATCACGTATTTATTTAACTGAGCTTTCAAACTCGGACTGGGTTCCATCGTCAGAGATAATAGTGGCAATGGAAAATGCAACAACTACAGGAGCGTAGACGCCAATCCAACATCAGGGACGTCGGTCCGAGCGTCAGACGGCGCCAGATCGAGAAATTGCTTATTGAATTCCAGTGGGAGACCTAGACTTCAGTCAATTCTTGACTTGTATTACTTCTGGCGTGGGCGACTATCTGCTTGTCTGCGAAGATAAACACGTGACGCCTTGAAAAGGTGAGGGCAGCCACGACCGATAAGCCTCAATAAATTATTCTCTACATTTATTGATTCTGCTACTGTTTTGCGATTTCTAAATGTATATATATATATATTTAGCCGTTATTTGTGTGAAGCTAGCAGTACCTCTCCCAATCTGTAAGTCGGGATCCAGTTGCCTCTCCTTCTATGGTCTCTTTAGCATATGCTCCACAAAAATGAAACCCGAAACCAATTAACCGAGAATAGTTTATTGAGGCAAAAATAGATGAATGCCTTTGAGCTCCCCAATATTAACACGGCGGCTAAAAATGCATGAATAGATAGGAAAAATGGGAAAAAGTATACTTCAATTACATGCTTGCAAGCGAAGAGTCAAACTACTTTTGAGTCTAAATAGTAATGAAACATGGCTACTTGCTTAACTAGAGTAGTATAATGAATATGTGTAATACACTCCCCCGTCAGTCAGATTTATACTGGTGAAAAAAAATGTTTGTTTTAAGTCCAGTTTGGTCTTAAATATGTTCACACAGGTGGAGAGGGCAACCTCTTCGGGAAGAGCATTCCACGCTCCAACCACTCACTTACTGAAAGTAAATTTACGTGCATTGATCCCTGTTTAGTCGGGTCGTAGTTTAAGGAAATGACCGCGCAAAATGCGCGTGTTAGGTTGGGTAAGATACGCATCAAGGACAAAACAACTATCCGGGACATTTTCATTGCGGAAGGTTCGTATGATGTCCGCTTGTAGTAGCTTACAGGAAAGGGGAAATAAGTTGAGGGTTGACAGTCTGCTTTAATAGGGCAGTGTTGCCAGACCATTGACCATTTTGTCGTTTACCTCTGGACCTTCTCTAAGACAGTACAGTCTTTGACAGTCCGAGGTCTTTATGCCTATACAGCAGATTCT